CTGTAAAAACACACACACACACACTAAACAAGAAACATTAAAACTTTTGTTTTCAACAGGCAAACTGCAAACTGACAGCAGTTTCAGATTACATCCTAAACCTGAATTGCTATGGTAGTTTTTCAAATTAAAATATCTTCTGTGGCCTCAACCACTCTCAAGTTGTCCATAGGAAAGAAATAAAGGAGGCAGGGCAACACTTAAGCTGAGCCATAATTGGAAGTATGTGAAAAATGAAGTGTCAGTTCGGTCAATAAAGGGCAAAGGTCAAGGGGAACTGCAGCCCAAACTCTGTGCGAAATGTGCTCATTAAGACATCCAATCAGAGAGCTCCTTCCCACCTATCCCATTAGTCATCAGACATCTGACTGTTTCAAATGCCTGGGTCTGTGCTGTTATTACTTTTCTTCTTCATGTAAAAAGGCGAGCTGGTATATAAATCGTTGCTCAGTCATCTGGAACATAATGTGGCCCTTTTTTCCCCCTTCATCCAGCTCTGCCTGCTGGCTTCGCAGGCTTGAAACAACTGCCTTGAGATTCCCTTCAATAATAAATGGAATTGCCTTTTGCCTATAGGTTGCCTGAACTCATACAAAAACCAGAAAAACATTGTGACTATTGATACATTTTTATAAAGAAATATCACTGCTTTCCACTCACTGCTTTAAAGAGCAACAATTATTTTGAGGTTAAAAAACCATGTTGAACCTGGTCTCAGGCCTGAACAAAAAAAAGGAGGCATTGATAAATTTTTAGGTCACACTGGATAGCTAAATATGGACATTAAAAAGCTCATGCTGGATAGAAGCTGCCTGCATAAGGTCTTCGAGGAATCTCCTTCAAAAAATTAAAAAACCCAAAAAGTTCAAACCAAAAATACAATTCTTCTTAAATTAGAGCACAGAATCAAAGATAATCAGGGATGCTGCTGCTATAGGTTTCTCTTTGCAGAACTATACCTAAAGACAGGCTTTGGATTGTTTTGGTTTTGGTTTCTTTTTAAGGCAGAGTTTTTGTAAGCTATTTTTCTGCAATGCAAATGGATTGCTTAGCATTCATATTACATTAAACAAAATCTAGGCAGCAATTGTTAGCATTTGAAAATAGAAGACAAAAGGCATTACACAGTGATGAGAGCAGAGATACCTAAACTTTTCTCAGAAGATCATTATGCATTCCCATATGATAACTATTCCATAGTACAACTGTCACAATACCGAGCCATTATAAGAGACTGTGTCAAAATGCTACGTAATAACCTGCCCTGCTGTTCCATGGCATGAAACTTCATAACAGCTCCCTAGCAGTTAAATAAGGATTTGCACAATAGATCATAACAGCCAGGAGTCATTACTGTCTACCAAGTAAATACATTCACACTGAAAAGCAGACATTAAAATGTTTAAACGAAAGAGCAGCACACCAGTTTTTAGAGGAAACCATTTGGTATATTTTGCAAATAGATAACTAGATAACTTACACAAGGTGCCTATTACAACAATTAAAACAGCAATGATGTACCATGTAAATAAAAAATCCTTTTTTTTTTTTAAATAAAAAGTGCAAAAATACATAATAGAGCGTAATGACTCCAATAAGACTAGATATGCCTGTGCATAGATAGGAACCATTTAAGTTAAGGTCAAGTCTGTCAAGCCCAAGTACCCTTAAAAAAAAACAGTTATTTTGAGGTTAGAAAACCATGTTGAACCTGGTCTCAGGCCTGAACAAAATGAAATATTGATACTTTTTTTAGTAGCACACACAATTATGTATCCCTATTGAACCTGCACCAAACACACATGCCCAAGCATATGGGTGTCAGGTGACTCACTTCCAGATACAAGAGGAAAGTTTCTGTTAATGCATTCATAGTATCCTGCCTTGAGAGTTTGTCTGTTATATATAATTTAGCCATTTGGAAAAGTGTTTGGGACCGCATGAACAATTTTTTGTTTAAAGCCAAAACAAAAAACCCAACCCTGACATTAAGAAAACCTCATGCCATAATGTTTACACTAGTCACAACCCAGCCTGTTGCATCAAGATCTTGCAGCTGATATGGAACACTAAAGCAAATGAGAACAAGGACTATGCTTCATGCTGTATGTGCTCTAATATTAAGAGGGCATGGGCAGAGAAACTAAGTAACAGAGAATCAGGGAGGGATAGGTTTTAATTATTTTGTGCTTTAGAGTAAAAACCATATTGGATATTTTTTAAATTGCATATTATATTGTTGAAAGATGGCCCTAATGAGAAAAAAAAAATATATATATATATAAATCTATAAATGCATCTAAGAGACCCAATACTAGTTATACAGTCCAAATCCTCTGTTCCATAAAGGCATGGGTAGGAGATAGAATCCTTCCCTCTCTGTCCTTTGCTCTGCCATATCATAGGTGCAGCTTCAATATTGCAGTAGCTCCCTATCTTGCTATTACACAGGGGGCAGCCAATGAAATGGTACACATCCAGGTTCAGCACACTGCTGCCCAAATGTAAATGTTCAAAAACCTTAAGTTTGGATCCACCCCTGCTAAAATTGTGAGACTGACTTACAAATCATGAGATTTAAACAGAATAAATCATGTTGGTATTTGTCTTCAGTTGTTTGAATCTTTTGCTCTGCAGCTTTTCTCTCCCCTCAGCCATGAAGGCCAGGAAGTTACTTCTATCTCTCATAAAATCTGGGATCTTCTCATAATCACATGCCTCTAAGAGCTGGAGATTTAAAGCAAAAACACACAGCATAGCTTAAGAGTTAGTAAAGCAGCGCCTGACTCTTCTTTCCTGTCCTGAGTTTCCTCAAAAAACACATCATGTAGGTACAAGAACTTCCATTGTAGAATTCAAGTTCACTGGTGTACACAGTCCCCAAATCTTGTTCTCACAACAGTCCTGGATCTGCTCCAGTGTACTCAAGAGTCTCTAGGAATGATTCAGCATAACTGAACTGGAGTTTCACCATTCACTTCAACAAATGCAAATCAAGTCCAATATGGAGACCAGACAAAGCCCTTTGTGATTACTAGGTACGTGAAGTAGAGCTGCCTAGCCCAAATAGTTGCTGTGAATACTTGGCTCCCTCTTTCCAGAAGTGTAATGCAATGATCCCTCTTGACAAAAAAGTATTCCTTTTACAAAGATCTATTGCATCATGAGTTCCAGTTTCATTAAAGTTCATTATAAACTCTAGGTAAAATTTTCAAAAGTGCCAAACTGACTGTGGAGTCCTAGTCCTATCAAAATACAATGGGACTTTTAAGTGCAGGCACTTTTGAAAATTGTTACTTTCTTTCTGTATAACATTCACCTTGCCTTGAATGACAGGCAAATCACTGAGCCATGAGGAATAATCCAGCCAGGGAGATGTTTGTCTTGGTCAGCTGACTTGATTAAATATCAGAAATGACTGACACATGTTACAAACTAATAATATGTTACATTTTGAAAAAACAAACCTATTTTTAGGTAGAGGTTTTCAAAAGCATCTTGGGGATTTAAGAGCTCATGTCTCACTGAAAACTGACAGAACTTGGACCCCTAATTCACTTGGGCACTTTTGCAAATCTTCTCAGGACTCTTCCACACATAATACACCCTTTTAACAAACAAGTATTTCAGTCTTGGCTAAGAAGCCTCCAGTAACAAGTTTCAGTTCAAAGAATATTTTTCAGTGTCTCAGACAGCCCTAAAAAAAAAACCCTATGACTTTAAAATTTACGCTGGAAAATAGGGAGTTATAATGAACATGCTGACACCACCTTAACTATAGCATTGCGACCAGCAACATTATAATATACATGTATACATACTTGAAAGAAAAAAGGCCCCTTGAATTTATGTTGCATATCATTTTCCAGTAAAAGTCAGAGGTCAGAAGGTTACCAGTTTCTGCCTCAGCTCTGCAACAGTTTACTATTCCAGGCCCCATTTTACTAGGCTATACTTGTGATGAAGTCAGCAACTTTTCCTTAAACAATAAAGTGTCTCAAATACTTAAAATTCTATAAAGAGATGTTATTCACAATATAAGCTACATCAATGTGTATAAAAAAATTAAAATATACTGTTTTAGTTTAAAAACAAATCCTGTGAAATACAGGCTTTGCAATTCTAATCAGTACTGTTCAACATTTTTTGGAAACACAATTCCTTTGTTGTCTAACAGCACTCGAATGAAACATGATCATAAAACCAGATTTAAAAGTATACACCTATTGTGAGTTCAGAGTCAACTTCAATAAAGCACTCCCTTTTATATTCAGATTAAGGTTCCTTTTCAATTTTTAATTGCATTAAATTAACACAAAATCCACTGCAGTTGGTCCGATCAGAAAAAAAGTAGAAAGCATTCAAACAACTTCTCTTTAAAACTCTTCAGTTTTGTTTCAAAACTTTGAGTTTAGAAGAAAGTGTTAATAATTTGTAGGTTGTACTACTTCAAATATGTATAATGCAAACTAGTCTCATACTATTTCTGTTAAGTCAATTACTGCATTTGGCTTGGCTCTCAAACAAAACATTTTTGCATTAAAAAAAAACAGCATAGAGGGGTAAAAAGTGCTGCTTAGGATTCCATGCAATGTGCCAGCTAACTTTTATTTTTTATATTTCATGCAATGTGCACTGACCAGAGTTTCAATAGCATCTTTAAAATATTAACATTCAATTCTGCAATCTTAATTATATTTGCTTTTAAAGATTTCTTTTTTTAACCCATTTTGATGTAAAAAAAATCTAGTTGCTTATTTTTATTAAACACACTGCAAATCTGGTACATATGTTGTTGTAACGTGTGCCTGTTGGCAGGATTTAAGAAATAAACATGCCAACTTCTTTTACTAGAAGATGAAAAAATGTGTCAAAAAGGGGGTAGACAATGCTGGGCACCAAGCCCTAGTGCCTCAACATTTCCTTCTTTTCAGAAGGAAAAATGACCAATCTTTACTGAGTGTACAGTGATCTAAAAAATAGAAAGGTTACTTTCCTAC